AGCATCTCGATCAGCGCAAACGGCGACCTGATCCCAGGCCGATGTCCGAAGCAAACTTACATTGTTGCGCGTGAAGCAGCACCCTGATCGGGATTACTGGCCTTTATGGTTGCACCCTAACCTCCACAACTGGGCGGTTGATGCCGAAGGTGCGGTTGGAGTTGGCGACGGCCGAGGCGATCGCGATGATGGGAGAAGTTGCCAACCCGACGCAGCGCCTGGTGCTGGCGACCCCGGGCGGCCAGATGCGGCGGCGCCGTCGAGTATTCATGGTTAACTTTCGCCTACAGAAGCGTGTCTGGAAGTAATGGAGAAGGTAATTTTCGCGGTGGCCATCCCTGATCTAGACTGGATGGCGGAGGACAAATGGTGTCTTGACAGCGACTACGCTATGGACCATGCCGAGTACCTTGCGTTCTATGTTGCCTCGCTGGGCGCCATGGCCCATCTTCATGCTGGCCCAGTCGTAGCAGAAGATGCGCACGATGATGGTGAAAATGCGGGCGTGGTGGTAGAGAACTTTGAGGACCACCCCGCGATGGGCAGCAAATGAGGGGGGATGCGGCATCCCGCATGCTCCTGAAGGCGAAGAGGTGTCGAGCGACAGCGGCGGCGTTCGAATGGTTTTCGCTGCACATGACATGTCCATCGCATCCGCGGGCGATGGCGCTGAAACTGGAGGTGCGACCTTGGGCAACAACCCCCAGCGGGGATGGGCGTGCTGCATCATATGTCTTCCCAGGTGCTGGATCGGCTGATTTGCCGCCTCTCGCCGGCGGAGATGCCGCCCCACTGCGCATTTCTGGCCCAGCGACGACCGCGAGGATGACGAACCAGACGGCGATGGGCTTTGGCTTGGGCAAGCCGGCGTTGGGGAGACGCAAAATGAGGAGAGGCATCCCGACTTGCATGGCCATCTCAAAGTCTCTGAAGAGTTGGTCTGCGATGATGCAACCCCGAAATGTGATGGGTTTGGTACTACGGCGAGGGACACTCATGGATTGTGCGCCAGTCAGCCAGCTGGCGTTCTCGAGACACCGACTCCTACTGATGGTGCCACGGCAGGAGCTCCTGATCTTTCGATGGACGTGCATCTTGGAGGCTGACTGCCAGCCCCCCTGTTCGCGATGGCGGACCCCCGGCCTGGTGGTGCGGGTGACGTTCGCGCTCCTCGGTCAGTCTTGAATTAAGCTTAGCAGGCCCTTCTGGAGCGCGCGAGCGGATGAGCGCGCGGCTGGCCCCTCTCGGTTTTCTTTGCGCGCCGCTCTGGCTCGGACTTCCTGGGTTGCAGAGAACGGTGGGAACGGCATGTCGGCGATGTGCTTCGATGCGAAGTCTCCGAAGGGCGGGCCGGCATCGAGCCGAGCCCGCGCGGCCCGCCGAGGGAAAAAAACTCGCGAGAGACCTGCCTGATGAGGCCTGGTGCCGTTCAGCGGAGAGACGTGAACTTCTGGCAGAGGAAATGATAGACGGCAGATCGCGCTCTGCGGCGCGCGCGAGAACTTCTGGATCAGGCGTTGGCAAGCCGCTCCAAGTCGAATAGGGGCTTGAGATGCGACGGGCATTCCTGGTCGGTTGCGCCGCTCGATCCCGCGGCGCCGCGCTTCTACCAGTCATGCAGCTGGCCAGACAGCGAGGTGATGGCCTGCCCCGGGTGACTGGAGCTGCGTTCGCGGGCCTGCGGCTTAAAAAGCTGAATTTCCGCCGCCCGCGAATATTGTCATCGATGGCATGGAAGGTGTCTTGCCTGGCGTCGATGCACTGGGACCTCCGCGCAGCAGCGGCATGCCTGAGAGGGCGATGGGCAGCTCACCGCTGGTGGGCACTCACGCTCCTAGAGCAGATGAGCCACGGCGAGGTCTCAATCATCTCCAGGGATATGCTGGGCAGCAGTCCACGCTTGAGACGCGACTAAGCCTCGATGATCGGATCGACGGGTGCGCTCGCTATTTTGGTTTTGCCTCTGAACGCGCCTCGCCCCGTTCAGGCGCGGTCGATGGCGGCGTCGCCGCCGATTCGTTGGGCCGGCGCTATGCAGTTGAGGCTCTGGGCATTTGTGAAGCGATTCATGGGGGCCTTATCGAATCTCAGTCCCGCGGGCTGGCGTTGGGCAGCGGAACTCTATGCGGCGGCATTCCGAGACAGAAGACAACGCGTGGAGGATCGCAGCATGCCGGATTCCTCGAGGTTGCTCCTTCCCATGCCGCGACCCCGCGATCCGCGCGACGCACCGAGCCCTGCTCCTCGAAATCGGGCACGCGCGCCGCCTGCGCCTCGGAGCCGCGATGGGGCCCATGCCGCAGCGAGACCCCGGCGACTCCGAGCCTTCGGGGTCCGACGATGGAAGCTTCCTGGTGATCGGACCTGTTTAAGAGGACCGCTGGGTCAGGACAGCCGCCGCTAGTCGCTGCCAAACCTGGATCGGGGATGAGGAGGCGATGTTTCTTCCCAGGACGCACGTCGCGCTCGTTCCAACTCAGCAAGAGGGTAGCGTGGACGTTTTCTCCGTTGCTCGGGATTGCGAGCGGGTCCACGAGCGCGACCGCCAGCGGACCCCGCCGCGGCCCCGAACGTCGGAGATCCTGACTGTGATGAGCGCGCGCAACTCCAAGCTGTGATTGAGCGTGTCGCTGGGCGATGGGCGTCGCATCTCGTCTATCGCGGCGATCGCGTGGACTCGCCCACGCAGTGGTCAGGATTGCGTGCGCCGTTTGTTGCCAAACACTTTGCTAGCAGAATTCGAACATTTGCTTGTCGACGCTGGCGGCGATCTCTGCGCAGACATTCGCGATCAACTTGCCGCGGGTCGCCGCGCAGAGGCTGGCCCCGCTACGGATGATCAGAACGTCGTGCTGATCTAGGACGTGAGCAGCCGGGCGGGCAATGCGAGGGAATGCGAGATTGCGGGGCGACGCGCAGCGTGCGAGAGGTCCACGCCGCTGGAGACAGCATCGGTTCATGACACCACCGAAGACGCTCTCCGCGCCTGAACTTGGCGTGGCTCAGCAAGTGCAGCTAGACGAAGGTCCGCAACCGCCTGATCGCGTAACTACGGGCGGCGAGGTGCCGCCGCATGGCGCACTTTTGTGCACCAAGGATCTGGTCAGTGTACTGCAGATGAGATTGGCGTGATGGCATACGCATATGGTGATCAGTCTTCAAATGCCGTTCGGCACGTTGGTCCCTCGCCTCTGGGGGGGGGCTGCAGGAGATTCGGGCCCCACGCCCCCCTCATCCTGCGCGGCTTCACGATCCACTCTCTGGCGGCTTGCCAGTGGGCGCCGCCCAAGGATCCTCCAAGGACGTCGCCGACAGGCATCAAGTACCACTACCTGGCGACTCGCCAGATTTATCCTCAATGACGAGTACCAATTACGCAACCGACGTGATCTTCGAGACTGGCGTCGCTTCCGACGCGGCGCTGAGGTCAGGCCTTGCGGGGGCCGCGGGCGGTGCGTGGATCGTTGCCTATGCGGAGAACGTGCGTGGGTTCCGTATTTTTCGGTCGTAGCATTCTTGCAAACATGGTTGTGCATGCAATTTCGACATCATCTTCGTCGCGTTGGTCTGCCATGCTGGTGTGTCATGCTGGCTTGTCGTGATGGTCAGCCGTGCTGTTTGTTGGTGCGAGCCCCCCCTGCCCCTCTCACTCGATTCTCTCTCGCTGGTCTTCCGTGCTCCTCCCGTCCTGGCTGGTCTGCCGCGCTCGTCTGCCTTGTCGGTTTGCTAAGAGCGATCGGGCCCGCCCCCACAAAGCACACATGAGGCCTCCGGGGATGCTATCTAGGCGCTCGCGGGGGGCCTTGTCCTTCAGCGCGGCAGTCGGGTGAAACGAAGAAACCTCAAAGACACAAAGCGGCCGACTGGCACGGCTGACCGCTTGGGACAAAGGGGAGCTTTGCAGACAAGGCAAGGCACATTCACAGTATAGATCAGCACGACTCCCCTGTACCAGCCACGTTTGCCGGGTTTGGTGCCCCTCACTTTCGAGTGTCAGATGTGTTCAGTCGAAGGGAAAGTCTGGACGCCCGAAATGGGTACGGAAAGAATGGGCACGATGCCCACCAACAGTTCCTGTTCATTTTGAACCGGATTCGCTGTCCACGCCGCCGCGGCCTGTGTCCATTCAAGACAGAAGGCCGCCTGCCCAACAGCGGCCGCCGTTGGTTTGGGACAGCATTTGTTGTTGGGCATTGTACACATTTTTTCCGTACCCATTTCGGGCGTCCAAAGAAAGTCTTGCGACTTGGGGCATGGAGGGGTAAGCATTTCGGGGAGGGGAGTTCTGTTAGAGGGGACGAGACCGAACCCGCTCGACCACCGACGCCCAGATGATGGTGGGATGCTGCATTACCTGTTAGTTTGTTGCTGGTTCTCTCTCTCTCTCTCTCTCCCTCTTTCTTTGTTGTTTGGTGTTAATGTTGTGAACGGTTCTTCCTCTCTCTCTCTCTCTCTCTCTTTCTTCCCCCTCTCTCTCTCTCTTTTCCCTCTCCATTCCCGTTCATTGGGTTTTCGCATCCCGCCATCTTTCTCATCCTCTCCCCTACACCTGATTCGTGAGCTCGGCTGTGTCGGGGCCTCCAACCGGAGAGGCCTCGGTGGACGATGGCCTCGTTGACCGCCCTGTGGGTAGGAATCTCGAGTTTTCGAGGCCGCCACCTGCTCTCAGCACCGCCCGTGGCGGTCGTGTCGGTGGTGCCCGCGCTACGCTTTCAAGCTCAGCCAGGCTTGTTGTTTCCTGTTCCTTCTCATTCTCTCTTGTCGGGCAGGTGTTTCCGCAGCGGTCCTTGTCAACAAAAGACACTCCTCCCTTCTCCCTCCTTTCTCCGCTCCTCCTTCTCCTTTGCTCTCTTTCCCTCTTCGCCGTCACCGTCCCCGCCGCCGTCGGTGCCGTCGTCTGCGCCCGTGCTGCCGCCTCTGCCGCCACCACAGCCGCCGCCGCCGCCGCCGCCGTGGTGCGGCCTTCCCCGGCTGGGCGCGGCCAAGCGCCGCGCCGCCAGGGCGACGCCGAGCGCGTGACCTACGAGCGGCGCTCGCTGCCGGCGACGGGCGCGGGTCCTGAGGGGCACCCCTCGGCCACACGCAGCGAGTTACCCGTCGCCAGAGTGACCTCTCGTGCGGGCCCCTTGGGCGTCGCGTAAATGGGGGGCAGCGATGGTTGCACGAAAGGTGCCCTGTGGGGCCCCGTTAATGTGCCCTGCAGGGCCCCCAAAGGGGGCCTTCTGGGCCCGAGCAGCGTGCCTTTCTTCCCCCCCCATGCTCAGGAGGAAAAGAAACACACAGACACAATTCATCGTCGATTCCCCAAGAAATATGGGAAAATATGTTAAGAGGGGGGGAAGACAAACGCCTAGGAAATACATGAACATATGGGGAAACCTGTTATTTGTGTGTATTTATTTGTGTGTCCCCGGGCCCCTTCACATGCATCGCCCCCCCGTTAAGCGACGCAAGGCCCACGGGTGTTCCCCGTCACTGGCTTGCGCGCGTGGTTTCCCGATTCCCTGCCCTTCCCGCGGCCTCCTAAAGCTGGGCAACTAGGTGTCACTCTTGCGGGGGTCAATCTTGCGTGCCCCCCGACCTGCGGACGCTGCATTCAGTCTACATTCTGTCCGCCGCGCAGGATCCACTTGCCGTTTCTGGGCGAAGAGGCCTGCTTGGCGAATCAGCTAACGTGTAGCGGCGGTAATGTCTGTACGCATGTACGACACGCATGCTCCGCAGTTGCCAGAAAGCGCGTGGAGGTAGAGAAGGAGGAGGAGGAGGAGGAGGAGGAGGAGGAGGAGGAGGAGGAGGAGGAGGAGGACGACCCCGCCCAGACAAGTGATGATGTGGAAGACTTTGCGGTGCATGTGCTTGCGCAGTACGGTCTCTCCCCCCGTTTCAGCTGTATATGGATTGTCAGTCTACGATTGATGTGCTGGTGAAGGGCCCTGGTTTCTCTGCTGGCCCTGGGCCCCTCGGGGGGGGCATCTTTGGATGCCCTTTTGGAGCTCTTTCTAGCCTGGGGACTCTGAAGTTTTCAAACGAAGGCGCACGTCACGTCCAACTAGCGACATCAAAGCTGGCAGTCGTGCTGTGGGCGGAAGGCCAGTGGCGCGGCTGGCCGCTGCGCGAAGGCCGGCGCAGACGAGCGCGCGGTGACGGGATGACGCGCCCGCTTGTCTCGAGGGTTCCGCAGCCCGGCAGTCGAAGCGGGGCGTTGGGCCGGCGCGTTGAAGGTCCTGCTGTCGCGCCAGGAGGTGCGCGACACAGCGGGACTTCCCGTGTCGTCGGCGGCGCCCCGCTGGGCCCCGCCCAGGGGCTCCTCCCTCCTCCCTCCCCCCTCCCCCCCCTCCCCCTCCTCACTCCCCCCTCCTCCCTCCTCCCTCCTCCCTCCTCCCTCCCCCCTCCTAGCCGAGGATTCGCGTCCCCTAGACGGCTCGGGGGGCGGCGCAGGCGTCGGGCCCCTGGGGAGGGGCGGGGGTGGGAGGAGCACGCGCTCGCTCTCTCTTCGGGTGCCGAGGGCGCGGGCTGACCGTGGCGCGCCCGTCCCGACGGCCCGCGGAGGCCCCGAGGGAGAGCTCGTGTTCTGATGTAGTTTCTGGACGCCCGAAATGGGTACGGAAAGAGTGGATGCAATGCCCAACAGCACCTCCTGTTCGTTTTGAACAGGATCCGCTGTCCACGCCGCCGCGGCCTCTGTCCATTCGAGACAGAAGGCCGCCTGCCCAACAGCGGCCGCTGTTGGTTTGGGACAGCATTTGTTGTTCGGCATTGTACCCATGTTGTTCCGTACCCATTTCGGGCGTCCGAACAGTTGTGGGGCGGTCACGGGTGGTGGCTCGACCTCGAGAGGCTCGGCTTGGCGAGTGAGAGCTGGGGGCCCGAGAAGGGCACCGGGGGCTTCTCCGACCAGCTTCGCAGAATTCGGTTTTGAGCAGGCCCCCTCTCTCACAAGCAAGGCGAGAAAGGCCTGGTGTTTGGGGCCTTCGGGGCCTCGGCCGTGCCGAACGGAAGGGCTTGGTTGAGACGCTGGATGGGGGCCGCTGGCCCCTCTGGCCCCGAGGATGCCGGGTCAGTCTGCGAATGCGGTCCTCTCCAGGCTTCCGCCCCACGAGAGCAGGTCCTGGACCAACTCGGTCTGACCGATGATGACCTCCCTTGGTGATGGCTCGAGGGAAGGCGCTGACTCGTCGCTCGGCCCCCTTGGGGAGGAGTCGGTTTCGGACGCGTCAGATTCTTCAGGCTTACGCCACATCCGCCGACCCCTTAAATGCGTTCGAGCAAGACATGTCTGACGCTGTTGAAAGAGCAGGCGGAAATGTCGGGTGCACAGAAGAAGCACAATTCATCGGGGGAGAGGCTCTGTCGGAAATGCGCGGAGGGGCGAGAGAACGAGGTGCGACGTGACGTGCGCGGCGTGCGGAGGAACGTTCTCGGACACGAAACATTTGCAGCAGCAACAGGTGGGGAATCATCAAAAGGCGACAGGAGCGGCGCGTGCAAGATAAAACTACCGAAGTCGGAGAGGTCGTTTGGCGTCTCGGAGCTCTCGTGGGCCGTCTTGGAGGCTTCTGGGCATCCTTCTAGGCCCGTGTTTAGGCCCTCTTGGGATCTCTGGGGAGGCATCTCGCAGGTTTCGTGGAGGTAGTTTCGAAGTTCACTGATAGCCATTCTGGGACCTCTTGGGGCCTTGTTTGGGCCTGTCGGACGTTTTTTGGAGGTCTTTTGGGGGTCTCTTGGGACCTTCTAGGTGGCTCGTGGGGTGTCCCAGGGCCAGGTGGGAGCGGAGGGCTCGGATTTTCGGTTCGGGCTCCGCCGCTGGGGCCCCTCTAGGAGCCGTCTTGGGACTCTTTTGGGTCGATTCGGGAGCCTCTGGGGCCGTCTTGGCGCCGTTTTGGGCCGTCTTGGACGCCTTTTGGGACCCTTTTGGGACGTCATGGGGTGGCCGTGGGGGCCTCTTAGACTGGCTGGAACTCCGCGCAGGCTGAAAAGTCGCCGATGCTAAAAATGTGCGTTTCCCCATGGAAAATCAATGATACCCGCTGCTTTGGACCTTCTTGGAGCGCCCCTTCGGGGCCTCTTGGAGCGTCTTGGAGGCATCGTGGGCTGTCTTGAGCCCATATGGGGGAATCTTGGAGCCACCGAAGGCCACGTGGAGGTCCTCTTGAGCCGTCGTGGTGCGTCCCGGGGCCATTTCGAGGCCACCGGAGGAGTCCCTGCAGGATTTTCGGGAGCGGATGACCCCCCCAGGGGAATCGGGGGAATCGGGAAATTTGGCCGGACCCCCCCCCAAAATCGACCGGACTGGGCTCCCGGGGGAGGGGTTTGGGGAGGGGGAAGATCTCACACGCCGATGATCCCCAAGGGGTCGGCGGATTTTGTTTGGCCCCGGGTGGCCCTGGCTTCAGGCCCGCCCCCAACAAACAATCCTTCTCTGACGACGGTGCGCCTCCCCATCGTGCCCCCCCTCCGTCCTTCCGCCCTCCGCCACTCTCCCTCCTGCCCCCTTCCCTTCCTTCCCATCCCAAACCTCCTCCTTCATCCTCCTTCTCATTTGCCTCTCCTCGGGCAACTCTCTTGCCCACCCCAGAACCCCATAACTCGTTCAGAAGCAAGTCGAACCGCCCCCCCGTGCGAAATCTTCATAACCACCCGAGATTATTTTCCCCCTACTACTCTCTCCCTCCCCTCCCTCCCCCTCCTCTTCCTGATTCCTCTCCCCCTGAACTTACACAACTCTTGCTCGATTTCCTTCAACCCGCCCATACCCCAAAAACCTTCCAAGAGCCATCGGCGGCGTTCTTCATCATCCCTCTCCACCTGCCCCTCCTCGCTGTCATCGCCCTTCTCCTCCTCATCGTCATCATGCTCCTCTTGCGATCCTCATTATCCTCTCTTTCGTAGTCCGCATCCTTTTTCTCCTTTTTGTCACCGTCGTGCCCCCTCCTCCACGTGCTCCTCGCCGCCTCCTCCCCCCTTCCCCCCTTCATGGTCCTCCCCATCCTTTCCCTCCCCTCCCCCCCTCTTCTCGTGCCTTCGTCTGCATCGCCCCCCTCGGGGCATCCCTCCTGCTCCCGAGGCGATGGACGGGGACCTGAAGGCTAACCTGAAGTCGCTTCGGGATCGGTCGGCAGCGGGGAGAGGGGGCACCTCTTGATGGAGAAGGCGGATGCGGGAGGAGGAGGAGGAGGAGGAGGAGGAGGAGGAGGAGGAGGAGGAGCAAGAGGAGGAGGAGCAAGAGGAGGAGGAGGAACCAGAGGAGGAGGAGGCGGAGGAGGAGGAGGAGGAGGAGGAGGAGATGAGGAGGAGGATGGGGAGGCACGGTGAAGAGGAGGGGGAGGCGGGAAGCGGTGAGGACGATGAGTGTTGGTGAAGAGGAGGCTGGTAGAGGGGACGGAATACCTAGGGGTGGGAAGAAAACTTTACGTGAATCCCCTGGCTCCTCAAGGAGGCGGAGGAGAGTAATGGTGGTAGCGAGGGGGAGGAGGAGAACTGGAGAGATGGTTTGGGAGGGTAGGCCGGGGAGGGCGGGGCAGAGTGGCTTGGAGGGGAACACAGAGGTGGAGGAGGAGGAGGAGGAGGGGAGGAGGGGAGGAGGAGGAGGAGGGTGGAGCAGGAGGAGGGAACACAGGAGTAGGAGGAGTGAGGAGGAGGAGGTGGAGGAGGCTTTGGTGGAGGAGGCTGTCGGTTCCTTTCAGAAGCTGAGGAGGGGGAGGTGGAGAAGGCCGTCGGCTTTTGTTCGGAAGCTGTTGCTTCTACTGTCCATCTGATGCACCTCACATAGTCTGCACTTGTCGTGGGCTTCTTCGGAGGGCTCCAGAACATGTTGGATGGGAAGACCTCGGTAACAGGAGGAGAGCCCTTTTTTGCCTCCCCTCCTACACCTGCCTCCTTCCCGCACCTGATCCTCCTCCTCTCTCCTCGACGGGGTATGCTTCGAAGAGGAGGAGGAGGAGGAGGAGGAGGAGGAGGAGGAGGAGGAGGAGGAGGAGGAGGAGGAGGAGGAGGAGGAGGAGGGGGAGGAGGAGGGGGAGGAGGAGGAGGAGGAGCGCAGGAGGAGGGGAGCAGCAGCAGAGGGACAACGAGGATGAAGGAGAGGGCCAGGAGGAGGAGGAGGAGGAGGAGGAGGAGGAGGAGGAGGAGGAGGAGGAGGAGGACAAGCAGGACCTTCCCCGCTTTCAGGAGCAGCTGCTGCTGCTGCTTCATGTCACTTAAGTAATGCTGCCGCCTGCGTGATTGATCACCCCTTGGCCGAAACGCAATAAACGCTACGCGGAGGATGGGGATGGAGGGAGGACCAGGAGCAGGAAGGCACATGATGAGCAGGATGAGACCGAAGAGTACGAGGAAGGAGGAGGAGGAATCTGTGGAATCAGAACGAACGCGTTGCCACGATAATTTTTCGTCGTTTTCTGTGTTGCCGTTCTCTTGCAACGAAGGATGTCTAGGCCACGTCTCTTGAGTCAGCCATACTAGTAGATGCCAGCCTTGGCTTTGGCTGATGTTGCGGCTGTGGCTGCTTGGTTTCCCCTTCCTGACCCGGCAGGGGCAGCCTGCCGTTTGGCTCCGTCTCCGATCCGTGCTTGCCGACCGTCCATACAGCGCGCGCGTCCTTGACCGAGACATGCTCCCTCGGTGGCGCAAGCTGGCATCCGCTTCGTCCTGGCCGCCCGCGACGAGTGTGTCGGCAGCGCCGGCAAGAGTTCGCCCACCCCAAGATCCTGCGCTTCAGCTCAGCTAAGCCGTCGCGCGCGCGGCAGCTGCCGGGGCAGCTGGTGCGCGGGGGGTGGGCCGTCTCGATCGGGCCCCGGCCCTCGAGCCAGCAGGAGCACGGCGCCTCGCCCGTGCGGCGACCGTGCAATCCCGCCGCGCGCGCGAATGCTCGGACGAGCCCATTGGCCATAGGATGAGCACGGCTTCGTGAACTAGTATCGGAGGTGGCGGCGGCGAAGACGGTGGCGACGGCGAAGATTCCA